AATGGCGGAGGCAGGAGAGGGCACAGCTCAGTGGTAGAGTGCATGCCTAGCATGCATAACGTCCTGGGTTCAACCCCAGTACCTCTGTCAAAGATAAATAAATTAAAAGAAAAAAAAACCTAATTACCCCCCACCAATAATAATAATAACAAGAATGGAGAATACTTTCCATTTCCTGCCAGAGTCCAAAGTGAGTGCTCCGGGTTGGAGGGTGGCTCTGCCCAACAGGCGTTCAAGGCTCCCCGTTCTTTGCATCTTATAAGGTCAGTGTCTCCTAGGATATTGGCAAACTAAGGCCTGTGAAGCAGATCTAGCTTGGCACTTGTTTACAGTGACCTGTGAGCTAAGAATAGTTTTTAAATTTTTAAGTGGTTGAAAACAAATCAAAAGGAGAATCCTATTTCGTGACATGCAAACATTTTATGAAGTTAAAATTTTGGTGCGTGTACATCAAGTTTTACTAGAACACCATCACACTATATGTATTGTCTCCGGTTGCTTTTGTGCTACAATGACAGAGTGGAGCGGTTGTGACAGAGAACATTTGCCAACTCCCAATCTAGGGCCCTCTTATTACCTACATGGCCAACGTCAGGTCCCAGTGGACAAGAAGGGCTTGGATGGAACATGGAGGAAACAGCCCATATCTTAAAAAGTTTCTCTACTAGATGTAGCAATCACCATTTGCATTCACCTTCATGGGTGAGAAGTTACCCACAGGTCACAGCTAATTCCAAGGGTGCTATAAAGAGTTGTGTGAACCACACCGACTCCATTTTATCAGCTCCATCTCAGGCCCCCAGTCCTAACCCTTCCCATTTCTGCATTTCTGCATGATTGAGCTTTAGCCTACTAACAAGGAATGCACCCAAGCCAGGTAAGTTCCCTGTCAACCTTGCCTTCATCTAACATGAAAACTGGAAGAATTCTTTTTGCTGATGCAGATGGCTGATGGCCTTGGAAATGAAAGGAAAATTCCTGTTCCTGGTGGTACAGACGTGCTTCTTCCTAGTAATCAGTTTCTATTGACTGACTGATTGATTGATTGAAGCACCCT